CTGTCTGTCTGTCTGTCTGTCTGTCTGTCTGTCTGTCTGTCTGTCTGTCTGTCTGTCTGTCTGTCTGTCTGTCTGTCTGTCTGTCTGTCTGTCTGTCTGGTTGGGGTTTTTTTTCAAATTTTTTTCCACCAAGCCAGAATTATTGTCGGCTTTAGGATGTCCTGCAAAATTTTCCAGAAGGAAACGGAATGTCTCCCTGAACTGCAGTTTCATGTTGATTTAGTTCGTCTTAAAAAGTTTTCGTTCTCCCGGCTACTCACAAATTCCAGAAACCAGAAAAATACCGATTACAATTTTGCTTCTGTTTTTTCTCCCCCATTTTTGGTCCACGGGATATTAAAACTTTATCTGTTTTTGTGCATAACTTTGACAAACATTTTCATTAATTCCAATTGAGTTGAGACGTGAATAATTTCTGATGATTCACTACTAAAAGAATTTATTGAACCTTGTACTTCCTAATTACATCACCACTCCTTCCGGTCATTAGTATCTGATATTATTATCTGATATTATTCATTACCACTATCACGACAATTACTAAGGCGCAAAAAACACCACATGTATTCCGGTTAATGAAACACATTTATTTTGTTACCTTTTTGAGAGATTCATTTGGGCTGTAATAGTAATAGAAGAGAATACTTCAGCCTATTCTCAGACCAAGTCATTTAGCTCCCCTTGACTACTTAGTTGCTGCATCTTTTCACTAATTTCCTCTTCAAATTCACCATCATCCGATGCACTATTGAATCATTCATTATAAGTATTATTACTTTCATCAAACGGACTTGCAGGTGGACGGGGTACAGAGTTTTCTTCATCACGGTGCGCTGGTCTTAACACTGGTCGACAGTGTTTGACTTACATTTTTGATAAGCCAGCAATTTTCATATTGAAAAATTAACTAAATTAATACGGTCCGTTTGTTCACTCTAGATCTTACGTACAGGAAAAGTCATTTTCTGTCGTTGGTCTTAAACACTTCAATAATCCAGAATTACCAAGCCGTGTGTGGCTCATATTATTATGGTGCCCATGGTATGTCTTGGACATCGGTTTTACTTACGACGTATTTGTAACTTCTATCGTACAAACTGTATAATATAGGCCTAACGATATAAATGTATACATGTATATGTATATGCATTATAACTAAAAATCCTGCGTGGTAGAAAGAAAAACGTCAGGTTTTTTTTTTCCAGTTATGAAAACTGCATAAATCGGTACCACAAAAAATAAAGTAGGCCTCTTGGTTGCCCAGTGGCCATTTTTTTTTCTTCTGACCAGTCTTATTGAAGTGGAATGCAGTTGCTGTAACGAAGATGCAAGCCGCATTTATGTCAAATGTGTGCAGTGGCTTTCTTTTCTTCTTTTTGTGCTACGTGGTGATTTTAGTGATTTATCGGTTTGCCCAAGTCTCGATTTGCGGTCTTTGACCGCGCTGTTTCATGGCGTGCAACTTGTTTGCTTGATCGATTTTTGCGAATATTTTGGGGCTTTTTAGAGGGGGGAGGGGGTATTTTTTCGGGTTTTGTCCGATATGAGCTCGAAGTTGGACGTGCCAAGGGGGATGTGTTATGATGTGATATTTTCTTCCTCACC